ATATATATATACAGTATACTGTATATATATATTTTTTCTCATTTTTCTTTTTATGTTTTTTTATTGTATATTGTATATAAAAATTTTTGTTTTGTTTTAATGAAATGAATAAAGAATTGAAACTGAAAAGTTTGTGTATATTTACACACACTTTCACGCCACGCTCATACTGTATTTATACACAGAGTTGTGCATAAAGCATTGTGTCGCACATTTTTTATGCATACGCATTATAAGTTTTGCAAAAGTCACATCCTGTACCAGATAGAGTCTAGTTATTATTCTTATTAGATCATACTAATCCCATGTATCTTAGAGAAAGAAAAAAGCACATCAAACAATACTTGAGCCTCAGGAAGTCACTGCTGCTGCATCATGTTAAACATGCAGTGAGGAGGGGTCAGTATATGGTTGACCTTGAAGCAGTGCACTTACCTTATAGAGCTGTCCACGTACCTCCACAGGCATCTGACCAGACTGTGAACACCAGCGACAGATAAAACTCTCTGCACAAACCTGAAGACACAACAAAACAAACAATTTTCTTAAATCCTCTGCTTTCTCTTCAAGCTACAGGAAAATGAAAGTGTTGAATTTATCATTGTATGTGTTCATGATGAAAACTGTTCTCTGTGTTTGACCCGTCACACACACCAGATACACAAGGTGATTTAAACTATTTATTTGATTATTAGTCTGGAACTGATCTAGTTCTTATTTTTTATAATCTTTTGTTGTTACATCAGTGTTTCCACATCAGAACAAAATTAGCTTAATTTACAAGAACATAAATTTATTTAAATTGAATAGTCAAACAGAAATAAATGATTAAAAAGTAGTAGATGCAGCTAAATGACAGAACAAACTGCATTCACCTCGATGCGGTGAGCCCACAAGAAGGGAGCTTAGAGGTATTTTTTTGTTTGTTTGTTTGTTTGTTTTTTATAGCCAGTGCCTTAATCAGACCTCACCTGGGGTCAGGTGCCCCAAACCCACAGGGGCACTCAAACCCCTCCACCATAAGGTGGCAATTCTGCAGAGAGGAAAATTGGAACAGCCTCATAAAAACCCAGCTGCTCAGAAGCAAGCAAAACAGAAATTCTGATTAAAACAATCAGCTTCTGTAAATATTCTGTAAAAATAATTAAATGGAACTAATATTGGTATTGTGACTTAATTCAACACGCAAATGAAATCAGGCTAACTGTATAATAATAATAATAATAATAATAATAATAATAATAATAATAATAATAATAATAATTCTCAGTAGTCTTTGATCTGTTTTTGACTATATTGTAGTGGATACATGTGGGATAATTACTGTATTTAACTGACTCCTCAATGAGATAGTCTGAAAATAACAATCTGTAACTATACGTTTCTACAACACTGTGAAGGAACTGTATGAGTTAGTACAAAAATATTGTAAATAATGTGAAAATCTGAAACGTACGCAAAGTGTTATTTTTTTAAGTCTCACAAACCGTTCAGTTTGTTCTCGTGTTAACTAAAATAATACAATCTGAGTCCACAAAACACTCACCCGCTGTTAGCTGTCAGTGTCTGTTCCGCCATACTGACAACTTTAGTCACGTGACCTGAGGAATACTGACGTACAGCGTCAATGGTGAGAGACGCTCCATTTGTTAATTGCGCACAACTTGGACGAGCGGGCACATTTACAACCGAACGACTGGCGTCCACAAATTTTTTTTCTTTTCTCCGGTGTCACAAAAGAAACACCCCCTGCCACCATCTGTTTACCAATGCGGAAGTAAGTTAGCTTGCTACTTAGGGGAAATTGTGGTAAGTTGACTGTTACTTGTTTGGACATCGTTTCAGCAAATTAGACGTAGTTTGGCAATTTTGTTCAGCTAATAGCTTTAGGGGTAATTTTGCATGTCTAGATAACAATAATACAACTTGGTGCCCAAAATAGCCAKCATACTGTGTTTATTTCTCGAGCTTATTGAGAAATAAAACTGTTCAACAGTGATTATATTTTGTAGGTACATAGGTAAAATAGTGTAATAGACAATGCTTTTGGATTGGCCTTTTTAAGTTTTTCCTTTGCACTTAGCTACTTTAACAGAACATTGCTTTTGACAGATCCAGGTTACAACAAAWGTTGTAGTTCTTGTTTGTTGTTAAGAAACTTGAAAGTGACATGCACCAGTTATTGAGCAGAAATTACAATGAAACCACTGTTTTGTATTTTTAAACCAGTTAATGTACAATAACGAGATATTTTGTTGTTTGTTTGAAACCATTATACCCACTGTCCCTCTTGGTCATTTTAAACTTCTTTGGGTTCTAAACTGTTTTGGGTCCGGACTTGTGGCAGCAGGCTTGGATCAGGTTGACTCCTGTTGGTGATAACCTCCTGAAGGTTTTATCACTATTTGCRCAGTGGTTCATGAGATATTTTACTAACAGGCACATGAAAATACGGGCAAACATATTATCAGCTGTGGTGGGTGAAAATAAATCTTTAAAATAAAATAAAATCACGTACGATCAGTTTTTGTTTTTAGCCTCAARACTCTCTTGAATTTTGGAATAACATGTTGGATGGAAATTTTTATTTATAATGTTTGGTTTTGGTTGTTTGTTTGGTTTTATGCTTTTGTCATAGTTTTATATTATGACATGGCCCTTGACCTACCTGATTAAAAAAAAGGGTTCATCAGTAATCAGAACTTTCTTTCTGTGACAGAATAAATTATTTTTTAGGTCAGAGTTAAACTGATGAACTTGTTTGACCGCAGATAAAAGGTTTAAAGTGGTAACATGAGTAACAGGGCAGGAAACGTGTCCGGTTATGGATCTAGCTGGTCGCGCATGCGCGGAAGGTGTGACAGGCGGCGGCGCTGCGGCTCCGGGACGGGCGGAGTCCCGGTGTTAGGACGGAGTTCAGTCCAGTCTAGGCAGGGCAGAGCTTCAGCCCCTCAGTCTGCCGACCTGAGTCCGTCCACCTAGATCCCGGCTGGGCCCGGGCCCCCTTTGAAGACAGACAGCTGAGGTAGGATCCATTTTACTTCAGGGGGAGAACTTTAGAACCGCTCGCTGTTCCAGCAGTCGTCTGCTCCTCCCTCTGCTGGGTCTGTCGYCTGTTGACAGGAGGTCTGCGACCTGCAGCTCTCAGGGGCGTCACCATGTGGGAGGCAGTCCCCCTCCCACTGGTTCCCACTGTCCAGACAGTTGTGTCAAAAGCTTTAACTTGGTGTCCAATTTCAGTTTCCTCTTAAAGATCAGAAGAACCTCATAAACATTAAAACAAACTTTGAAGATTGTATTTAAAATGAAAAATAAAARTTTAATATTGTCTCCCTAAATAAGGACAACTGATCTAAAAGTATATAGTTGCAGAGCTTTTCTCATGAAGTAATAACTAAATAAAAAAGTAAAGATGGTGAGATACAAACAACACCTGTGTTCAGGATCACACAGTGGGTGTGTCCGCTGATGATGGACACACTGTGACTTTTTTTTTTTCCCCTGTGGGTTCATTGTGCAGAGTTAGGCCCCGGCACTCCTGGAGTAAGAATGCACGACGGATTTCTGAACGTTGTTTTTTTAACTGGTTGATTCCAAACTGAAACTGATTTGTTTTCAGAAAGTAACCACTGCCAACACAAAACTGGCTTTAACWGTCAGAGTTACACATTGAGCTAACTTTGAGTTGGTAATAACATAGTTCTGAATGCTAACACATTTTACAGTGCAACACAAAGTCACACAAAACATCGTCTGCATGTTCGAGCAAAACAGCTACAGCTTAGTTTGAAACTGGTGTGAAAAGCGGTATGCATTTGTTCAATGAATTTTAGTTTGTTTTTTTTTTAATTAAGGTAAATGTATTTAAATTGTGTTGTAGTAGAGCTGGGCGGTATGACCCGAATTTTATATCACGGTATTTTCAACAATTACACCGGTTTCACTGTATTTTTTCTCCTCACAGCTCWGCTGATAATAAAATTTACAAACTTTGTTTATTGACTTTTTTCTGTTACTGTACCTCTGTATCACTGTTTCCCTCCTCTTGTARGTCTTTTCTTCTTTGCCTGGTTGTAGACAGTAATCATGCATTTCGGTRCGATCGTGAAGGGTTGAGAAAAGATCATTATCTGGTCTATCATTACATGTTAATAAAACTTAAAAGAACGACTCACTTTGCACACCAGTCAACTCCGCTACACTATAAAACTACTTCCCCCCGGGCTTTTCACAATAGAAACACGCTAGAGTCTCCATGCAATAACGTCTCCATTTTAACGTAGCACGTTAAATCTAACTGTGCACGACACTGAAGAGGTGTTTACTATTCAGCAATGGTGAAAACGGAATTTTTTTTAACGTCAGACCATATAAGCAGCTGAAACACCACCCACCGCCAGTTGTTCCAATAATAACGTTAGCATGCTAATGCGCTTAGCGGTGTTATGAAGAAATGTGTCCCCAGGGAAACAGTTCACTGGCGGCCGCGACGAAACGTTCCACACYTMTTCAGGCTATTTAAACCGGTATTCAGAAAAGTCATATCATTACAAAAATAAAAACCGGTTTTCAGTACAAAACGGTATACCGCCCASCACTATGTTGTAGTGTTTCTCTGGTCCAGCCAGGGGTCTGCAAACTTTTCAATCTAAAGAATAAAAAAATACAGTCCAGAGTCGTAAAACCTGCAGGAACTGACCATCAGCTGGTAGCTTCAGGGCATTTCCTGTTTGGTGGAAGTGATTTCTTGTTTCCCCTCCACTGCCTTTTCCTGTCAGTGGCGGGGAAGTTGCTGGGTATTTGCTGGATGTGTTAGGCTTTTATTTACTCTAGCTTAAACACTTGGTTTTTTTATTGCAAAGGTCAATTTGTAATTATCCATATTATTATGTAAATAACCAACTTTGTACCAAAATACGTATCTTTTACCAAAATAACTCATGAAAATCGTAAAACTGTCAGGGAGTATTCACTGGACATCTGCAGCTGATCAACTTTAGAGTCAAACTGACTCAATATTAGAGGTGCAACAATACAGAAAATTCTTGATTTAGTTCGGTTCGATACTTTAGTCTCAAGTTTTCTATATTTTTTTTCAATGCAAAAAGAGAAACTTCCATGCCCTTCTTAACTTGTGATTTATTGAAATTAATTATAAACATTTGTTTAACCTCTAATGTACAATTTTGAAATAAAATGTTGTTGAAACAGCAGGTTTCTCAGTGGATCTGCGCTCGACAGTGCAGCCTAGGTGGAGTAGTCGAACACAGATCCACTGAGCCTTCAACACAGAGCATCTTCACAAGACAAGTTGATAAAATAAACTTTAAAAATCTGTATTATTTTATACATAGTGTGTACTGAACCTAAAACAGAAAGTTCGATACAGATTCATGTATTGTTGTGCCCCCACTCAAWATGGCTGCCACAACCAGCTGATATTTGAAAACCGTCGTAATTTAGTCATTTATAACTTTACTGATTGTAACTAAAAGTCATAATAAATACTTTTTCTACTGGACAAGCTRGTTCCTTAAAATTGTTGCATTACCTGTTGGAATCTTCCTTGTTGGTCTGTTGGCAAAATATATCATTAACCACTGGATCAATTTTAATTAAAACATTTAGAAATTAATCACTGAATTGGTTGTATTTATTTATCTACAGTGGATTAAATATGGAATTCAGCTTGGTAAACACAGTTAATTCACAGTTAATAAGCCAACATGTAGCGGTCAGATATTGWGCTACAAGGTGTGGTAGTAGCTGAGAGTCATTGCCAACACGTGCTGTAAGTTCCAACACTTCATTTGAGATTCTGTGAGATGTCACGTAACGTTATCTTTTAAAGTTTTTTTTTCTGGTAACACTTTCTTTAACGGTACCCTTATTACCATGTAATTACAAGGTGATAAAAAATGTAATTAAATGGTAATTACTACGTTATTACATTACCGGTAATTAGGGTACAATTTTACTATGTAATTAATTGTCTGCAGTAATGTAGCACTTACCTCGTAATGTATTACAGTTCACTATGCAACACCTAAATAAGTAGTAGGTGATTTGGACAGTTTTAAAGTTATATTTCATTGCAATTAACAACTAACCCCAAAATTTAGTTGCATTCTTTTGGTTGTAAATATAGTATTGAGTTACTATTGA